ACTGTGGGAGGCCGAAACAGGCAGATCATGAAGTCAAAAGATTAAGACCATCCTGGCCAACATGGTGAAATCCTGTCTCTACTAAAAATACAAAAATTAACTGGGCATAGTAGTACTTAGCTGTAGTCCCATCTACTAGGGAGGCTGAGGTAAGAGAATCTCTTGAACCAGGGAGGTGGAGGTTGCAGTGAGCCAGGATCACACCACTGCAGGCCAGCCTGGCAACAGAAGGAGACTCCATCTCAAAAACAAACAAACAAAAAAACAATTATTTTTGTGCCAACCTAATACTTCAGGGTAGGAAATCCAGAACACAGAAGCTTGTATACAGTCAGCCACTACACCCCAGAATAATCCCACACTCTTTTTTTTATGAAGAAGACCTATCCAAAAGGGGCAACTGTCCAGGACGCTGCTCTTCCATGGCACACCCACGTTTTCCTGCCTGTCAGAAGAGGATCTGCATTGATAAGTTCAGTTCATTCTGTGACTTAACTACAAGTCAGACTGGGCAGACTTACTCCACACCTGGCAAGTAACCTGAGGCCCTGTTACTGCTTAACTGAATTATACTCAAGTTCTTTGGGAATGGCCTCTCAGGCTTCCATGGATGATGAAAAGAGCAAACACTTATTGGGTGTCCATTATGTGCTAGGATAGCACACAGCCCTGCATATACTCTCCCAGTCACTGCTGAGCACCAAACTGTAAGCTAGGTAATGTATACATTGCAGTTAATAGTATTCTATGACATGGGAAAACCAACGCACAGAAATATCAAAGAACTTTGCTAACAACCAACATCAAGTAAAGGAGAGTCAGGATTACAATCTAGTTCTGTATGTCTATGAAGCTTGAGTACTGAAGCGAAATATTCAGATAACCAGTTAATACAAAGGTAGATAGATTCTGCTCACATTTTGGACACATAATTTAAGTCTGATTTTGAAAGAATACTTTCGAAGGACAGTGCTATAGAATTTCACCAACTAATGAACATACAGATAACACACAATGTGATGTAAGCAAAAATAACTAGACTTTTGCATAAATCATGTTCCCTGAAACATGCTTACTTCCTCCAACAGAAGCCTGATATAACTTGAATAGTTGGTAATTTTTTTATGACTCAAGAATTAGAGTTATTATTTTTTATCTTAATTACAAAAAGTTATTTTTTTCCTCTCAGTTCTATCATGTCAAATATTTTTGTATTTAGGGTTGGAATCCTTTTGGCTAGGTTTAGATCTCCCTGACCAGAATAGAAACATAATCTATTTACTTTTTGAGATTTATGAATGTTTTCTATAGAGGCTTATGAATATAGCAACCCAGTTAGAACAGTAAATACAGTAAAGTCCTTATATGCACTATTTTAAATCTTAGAATCCAGGGAAATCTGTTGTCTCATCTCAATATTTCTTTCTTTATGATTTAATTCACTATAAGGTAATAGTCTTTCCCTCCCTTTCTGTGCTCTCTGATGTATTCAGGAATTTTTGAATCATTCTAAATATCACAATTTCTGATATTAAAATATTTAAAACCCCTCATTTTATTAGTAATGACAATTCCTAATTGGCCAAGTGCTAATGAATCCAGATTTGTGATCATGTAATAAGTATTGAAATCTAGATGGGAGTAACACCGCCAAGTTCTACACTTAAGTAGACCTCAATCCCCTTGCTACAATTCATGTTTTGGAGACATAGGGCAAATTACTTAAACTCACTAAGCCTCAGTTTCCTCATCTGGAAAACAGTGATATATGACAATAGTGTAGTGATTTAAGAAGACGATGTATGTCCAGGTGCTTAGAGCTTGGCGCTTGTAATTTCTCAACAAATGCTACATATAACAATGATAAAAATAATGACAATAGTAACAATAAATTATTTATTGAGTACTTATTATGTAACCATAATTATGTCCAAGAATCTGGAAGATATGAAACAAGATTCAGTTACCGCACTTGAAGTGGTTATGTACTATAAGAAACAAATACTAGCAACACAATGAACACAGAATCTGGCTTATGAGAGGTATGGAATGAGGTCTGGACTTTGCCCCTTACTAAAATTGGGTGTATCTGTTAGGAACTATACTTGGCTGCTGATAAAAAAAAAAAAAAAAAAAAAAAAAAAGAAAGACCAAAAAAAGTCATTTAAACAATACATGACTGTAGTCCGTGAAAGACACTAAAGCAGAAGCTAAGCTGTGCCCAAATTACTGGTCCATAGAAACTGAAGTAATACATGGGTATTGTTGTAAACCACTAAATATTGGGACAATCTGTAAACACTAGTAGATTAATATACGTGGCTCATCATGTTGTAGTATACAATTGTAATCCTTCATTCTCATTACTTTATAGGAGGGTTTGACAAGCCTTTTTCTTCTGCAAAGGGTCAGGTAGGAAGCATTTGAGGCTTTGTAAGCCAAGAGGCAAAACTGAGGATATTATGTAAGTACATCTGTATAATTTCCATTCTTTGTAAATTATACTTTTTTGTTTTTTTTCCCAACCATTTAAAAATGTAAAAATCATACTTGGTGAGACATAAAAATAAATTGTGAGCTATATTTGACTCATTGGTTTTAGTTTGTTGATCCCTGCTATATAGAATTATTTGGTTACACCACAGATCATCTCTCCAATCTGTTGTTGATAAATGTCTGAGTTATTTTCCATTTGGAAAACATTAAAATAACGCAGCCACAAACATTCTTGCACATGCTTTTTGAAGAACATGTGTATGCATATTTGTTCGGTATACACCTAGGAGTAGAACTGCTGGGTCACAGGGTAAGCATACATTCAGCTCAATACTTCAGATGGTTTTCCAAAGTGGTTGTGTGAATTTGCACACCACAAGCAACATACGAGTCTTTACTGCTTCAAAATCTTGCCAAGAGTTGGTATTTTGTGTCTTTTTATTTGGAAATTCTAGTGAGAATTGTAATTGTTTTTTTTAAGCACTTTCCAGGTGATTCTAATATTCAGCCAGAATTGAAAACCTCTGCACAACTATTGCTTATCCCTTATTAGGCTGAACCACATGAAATTGCTTTATTTGAAGGTTTTTTAAATGGTCAAACATTGGCTATCTCATATGGTTGAAACTAACATCTCCTTCACATCTTATTTATACTAAAAACATTTAGAATGCACATCATTTGGAAAGACATTAAAGTCTTGATTTAAGACGAAGTTTTAAAATTAACAACAGATTTCAGTGACTTCTATATTTTAATATCACCCAGACATTTAAAAGCTTGGAAACACACCAATGGTTTTCACCCTCAATGAAGAATGGAGTCTCCTGTGGGTTTTTAACACCTTAAGTGCCTCTACTCAAACCCCTAAAAGCCCTAATTCTGTGAGACTAAGGTAAAGCTTAAGAATACCTATTTGTAAAAGGCTGACACACAGCCAACCCTGAGAACCATTGATACTACCTGTCCTATGGCTTTCTTTCACATGTATTCAATCTAAGAAAATACTTAACACTTTGGTGATTTTATATACATAAAGTAGGGAAGCACCTGGATGTCAGTTCTTTCCAGATTTTAGAATGCTTAGCTGTATATTAGGTTAGAAAATTATTTTTCCCATGGAAATTATGTATCATCAAGAGCATTTAATGGTTACATGCAGGTTTTTTTAAAGTACCTATACACATATTATTATATTACCCAATAGGAGGACGAAACATGTAATTAGTGACCAGAACAACAGGTATGCATGCATACACTTAGAAACAAAATTGTTTTGAATTTTTTTTTTTTTTCTGATGACCAAGAGAGACAAAAACGTGTAAGTGGTCATCATGGGAAGAATCCGATTTTTGTACGTCCTTATTTTACAGAAATTAACGTTATATATGGGTGACTGGGTGAATGTGGTACCAAATGCATTTCTGAACTCAAGGTCTTTAAAAGTCTTAACCCAGTCTTGAGCCAGATTTATTCCCGAGGCTATTCCCTTGCCTCCTCCAGCCACAACTGTATCCGTATTTCTACATGCAGGAAAAAAATGTTTGGAAACTTAATTTTTACCAGCTGTCAACTTGTATTGCTGTCCCCGTGATTCCCCTTATCCTGTCTGCTTATAGCATCCCCAGCACCTACAGTTAGGACGTAGGTTCAGAAGTTGAAGGAACACTGATTCTTAGGCACTGTTAATTATTAGGCCCTATCCCAGCTGTCGACAGGCTCCAAGGCTAGGCAAACTGAAAGCCTCCTATCCAGGAAGCCAGGCAGGCTTTCATCTGACCTCCTCAGGGGCAATCCTGGTTTCCAGACTTTGTTCCTAACAACCCCTTGGGGATGTTGCCTATTGGGGATTTTTAAGCTACTCTTCCTCCCCTATACCCCATGCCAAGTATTTAGCCACCAGAACCACTCTATAGGATCAGACGACAGCTGTATCAGCGGCGGAATTTCCCCACAAAGCCCATACATCCAGAGTGCGAAGGAACAAGTTTCAGCCTCATCCTGGGCAGCGCTCTCTGGCCCAGGTGGAGAACCATCAGCGGCCAGTGGTTCTGCTCTCCCCACTAAATGGGTGCTTCAGGAGACCAGGGGGCGGTGCCGGCTGCCGAGGCCAGCGGACGAGCACGGGGAAGCTCATCACACAGCCGAACGCCACCTGCCCACCTCACCACACCTGCTACGGGCCAAACCGCTCGTCAAGGACTGGGAAGAGCTCAATCACGGGTCCCTACTACTCTTAGCACCGAACCGATCGCAGCGCACGGCCTCCTGGGAGATGTAGTCCGCACCGCTTCCCTCGACCCACACCCTCCCAGGCACTCCGGGTCCCCTCACAACTTCTCGGCCTGGACAGCTGAAGCTGGAGCTGCCGTCGGATCGTGGGGACCAGATGGCGCCCCGCGAAGGACTCGAGGTGCTCTCCCGAGTCCGAACGAAGGGAGGGAACTACACTTCCCAGGCCGCCCTGCGCGCGCCGAGCCGGGAGCCGGCTGCCTCGCTTTGCGTGACCGCGGCAGGTTGGTCCTGGAGCTGATGAGCGCAGAATATTTAGGCGAAAGCGAGAGGAGCGGGGGGGCGTGCGGGGCAGGAGTACCTCGCCGAGAAAATTATGCATGTGTTAGGAAAGCTCTGAGAGAATGGCTGTGGAAGGTAAGGGACGCTTGGGGCATTTTTAAGCTCCCTCTTAACCCGCGCACCCCAAGCCATCCCTCCCGGAGGAAGCTTGGCGATCGTGGGGGAGGCGAGGAAAGCGGGTGGCGGAGAGCGGGCCCCTTCCTCCTCCACCTCTGGGCACTCACCTGCGCCGCCAAGGCCAGTAGGCGCTTTCATTCAGTTGCTTTGGAGAGACGTGAAGGGTAGGTGCGCAAGACTTGGAGGTAGAAGGTGTGGAGAAGAGTGTCCCTGACGCGAAACGATATGCTGGACCTGGGGGGAGAGCCGGAGGGTCCGGCACGAGGTGCTGGCCCCGAGACGCCCTTTTTCAGCGCCCCCTCCCGCCGGAGCAGACTGCGTGGCCCCGGGGCTGGGGATGCTTGGTTGGCACCCCCTCACGTGGGAGACGTCCCCGGGCCAGGTGCGTCCTCCGGAAGCTTGGACTGGGATTGGGTCGAGGGCCCTTCGTCCTGTGCACCCAGCAGCGGCGGCCGCAGGTAGACCCAGAGGGTGGAGGTATCCCTACACCTGCCTCCGCTGTTAACAGCCAGCGCCCCGGGCTTAGCAAAGTTTCCAGGCAGGAAATGTAATCAGCCAGGGAAAAGAAGTGCAACAACCTCTTCGATTTGGGTGAATCCTTTTCTCTGAAGACCACTTTCTGCTTACAGTCAGTCTTGAGCTTCGGCTTTGCAGTTTTGACCTTACAGCCCTGCCTCCCTTGAACTTCCTGGTTGAAAGCAGCGTGCTCGTGAGGGGTCCTGAGTTTTTCGTTTCAGATTCTCTTACCTTGGAACACGAGCTTCCTTGTTTAGGGTAGTTTCTGAAGAAGGAAAAAAAAAAAATTGTGGACCAGAAGCGTTTGTGATGTCACATTAGAGGTCAAGCTGTGCCTGAATGATGGTGAGACGAAATGGGAGCGTCCGTTCACCTACAGAATTATGGTTCCTGAGTGCGGTCAGGTCAGAGGGGAACTGAGGCAGGGAGAGGAGGGCATGCCTGCTAGCTGCTTCAGGCGCCTTGCCAAAGGGAAATGAGCCTGTTCCTTGTAGGCTAGAGACAGAGACTAGAAGAAACCATAAGGGCTGGCTTGCTCCTCCCTCTCCTCCCTGCCCCAGGAGAAACAAACTGATCTAATCTGACTCTCGCTCACCTTATAATGACTGTCTTAACAACCCGAAATAGCAACAACCCAGCTCCTACACTCAGCACCCATAAACTCTAAAAACTCTTTGCCTTTGTGTTATCTCAGGTTCAGAGATCCACAGCCAGCCACTTCCAGCTTTCCTAACTTTATTAGCAAAAATGAAGCCCTCTCTCTTAACAAATATTTTTCTAGGTTTTCTTTTCTGTGCAAATGTACCGAAAGGGTGACAATCTGGCCTTTTTTGTTTGTTTTGGTTTGGTTTTTTGCATCGTTACCATTGATAGTCAAGACTTCAGATCAGATGCCAAAAAAAAAAAAAAAAAAAAAAAAAGCCGAGATAAAGTTCATTTTGAGCTTAGACTAAGGATATGTTGACCTACTCCTGAAGTATCCCTTCTACGTCACCCATCAGATGACTCTGATATGATCTCTCCTCTTCACCACTCCTGTGTCCCCAAGAGAGGGACACTGCCCCTTGTTGCTAGTTCACACTGTTCTTGAAAACAATTTCTTGTTCACTGTAAGAAGTATAAATTTGTCCTATTTCTTGCCTGATGGGCGATTACACCAGTGAAGCCAGACTTTACGCAAACAAGAACTTAGGAAGGGAGTACATGTGGACGATGGAGAGTTTATTTTCTAGTGATTTATTTAGTTAAAGTACCTGTCTGGTTACCAGGTGATTCTGACTTTGATTCACAATGAGGTCTCAAATAATGAATTTGAATCTTTAACTGCAAATATGATTCCTATCTTTGGTCTTTGCAAAGACGTCAGCCTGGATCAGTCCCTTCCTAGTTACTCCTGCTTCGTCTTTCAAGCCTCAGAGAAAATGGCATTTCCTCTGGGAACCTGTCCTAGTCCTCCTTTTCCTTCTGCCTTCTCAGCAGTCTTTCCAGTCTATGGGAGGTGCCTCCTGCTCACATTTATCTTAACATTTAACATACTTAACCTGTCTCTTACTAGACTCTAAGCCCCTTGGGGGTTTGACTTGGACTTTATATTCCCAGTTCATAGCACAGTACTTGGCCCATAATAGGTACTCAATGCTCATGAATTGCATGGCATATATGCTCATGGGAGCTTTTGTAACTGGTTCTATAAGGGTAAATGGGGCTTTCTTAGAAGCCTAAATGCCATACAGTAAGAGATGTCTGACAGATTTAAAGACAGGAGATTTTTAAAGGAAGTGTTCATCTTTTCAGTCTTTTATCTTGATGCCCCCAAAATTGTTTAGGGCGGTAGTTTACATCTACTGCCGAGTAACGTTGTCCCTGGGCACATTTGGGATATGTAGGAACTGCTGCTGGTGGCTGCTATTGGTATTTTGTGCCTGTGGCCAGAGATAATAAATGTCCTGCAGCGCCCTGCCATCCCGTATCAATTTGCCAAGCCATGGCATGTAATGACCAGTTTACTCAACTCTTTGAGAAATGCTGCTTCAGAGAATAAGGAGTTTTGCCAGAGGAACTGAAATAGAAAATACAGTATGGATTACTTAACAACTAAGCTATAGTTTTCATATCTGGAAAAAAAAAATGGGCTCACTACTGGTTACTTGCTGGGAACATTGTGAGGATTAAATAAAGGAGAGGGCTTTTAGAAGGATGTCTGGAACCTGGATCCTAAGTAAATGTTACTTATACTCTCATCCCTGTTAAGAAAAGGTATGCTATTTGGCATGTGTTTTCTATCCTGAATTTTCACTTATTCATGCCAGCCAGTTTTTCTAATTAGTAACAAATTAGAAGGTTTTTACTATAACGTTTTTAAGTAAACTTGAACTTGTAAAAATGTTAATAGCAAGTAGGTCACTCACTCAGCCGAACCTGCAGCTGTGTGTTTAAGATGAAAAAGAGGTGCTCTTTGTTTATTGTTCTGTGGCCACTTTGGGTTATGTTTTCTTCTCAATTTAATTACATCATCCTACTTTTGTTTACTAACCTGATTGTGACCCATGTTTTGCATTTATGGGCAGCTTACAGGTGTGCATTCCAGCCACAGAACAGCGTAAAACCTTATGTTCTGTATTTGGAGTAGAATTATATTGGCATCCATTGTCTTTTTTAAAAACAAAAACAAAAACAAAGTGTCTTCTGAAGCAAATGAACAGGAGTAGAAACTAGGACCCTTAGGAAGGAGGTACCAGGGACCCCAAACTAATCCATTCTCTATGGACAGACTGTGTAGATGGTTGCCCCTGCTGATGTTTACTAACAGAAACAGGTTGCAATATTATTCAGGGAGAAGAAAAAAGTGGATTCATTAGGGACAGTGTCATATTCATCTCTGTATTCCAGGGATGGTGCCTGGCACTTCGGAGGCCCACAGTCATTGTTTCATGAATGACATATAAATGCATGCATCCCCAGAGCTAGAGAAGGGTTTTTTACTCCTCATGCCCAATTCCTTTTCTTGCTTTATCCTCAGAGATTTATGAAAAAAGTATGGAGAATGGACATTGTACATGGTAATTTCTATTCCACGTTTGACAGCATAGCACCACTCACGTGGCAGAAGAATGGCTTCCAATATTCAACACTCACTTCTCTCCCCAAGAAAGACATGTTTAATGGAAGGCCATGTGCTCTTAATGACATCTGTATTAAGGGATCTGAATTTTCCATCAAAAATGAACAAATTGGCTTACCAAAATCTTCCGATAAGTCATTCAGTTCTCAGGTTCTATGTTTTTCTCCTGTAGGAGAGGGAAGAAACTACCCATCACCATTAATACTTTAAGGCTAAGTAATAATAACAGTGACTGGGAAAATGGGAAATGAGATAGCATCAAACATTTGTGACAAATAGAAGCAGTCATGGTAAACACTTGGCTTTGGCAGCCCCATAAATGATGACCCTTACCCAACTTGAATTCAGAACTGTATCACAGAGTAAAAGGAGTCACATGGGAGATAAAAAAACATCAATTTTATCACAAGGCTACAGTGGGTTATTTTTTCTGACTTTGGGTTGGAGGGTAAGTAGGCTTGCTGATATTGTACCCAGCAGCGAACTTACTCATCATAGGGGTGCCTCCCTCTATACTAGTGGTCCTCAACTTTTTTGGCACTAGGGATCAGATTCGTGGAAGACAATTTTCCCATGGAGGGGTATGGGGATGGTTTTGGGATGAAACTGTTCCGCCTCAGATCATCAGGCAGGAGTGGGCAACCTAGATCCCTCACATGTGCAGTTCACAGTAGGGTTTGCACTCCTATGAGAATCTAATGCCTCCGCTGATCTGCAGGAGGTAGAGCTCAGTGGCAATGCTTGCTTGCCCCACTGCTCACCTTCTGTTGTGTGGCCCGGTTCCTAGTAGGTCACAGACTGATACCAGTTTCCAATCCAGGGGTTGGGGCCCCCTGCTGTGTATCACTGACAGGCTGGAGAGCAGAGAGAACTTGGGCTCCTGCAGCAGGCAGGTGGGACCTGAAGGAAGAGGTGGGGAACCTATGCTTTGTGCCTTTTCACAGACTTGCTCATCAGACAGTTGACTTTTCCTCTCCTGAGGACGACTCAGAGGGTGAAGAGGGAGACCAGAAGTGTGATTCTGATGGATTTCCCTCCCAGGACACAAGAAGCTCCCTCCTGCCCCTGTGTGACTTTCCTGGTGCTAGCTCACCTGTGCTTTCCTATCTACCTTTTCTTGCTGAGAACATCATTTGAATGCACCTCTTCTACTGGTGGCATTTTCTAAGGGCAAGGACTGTGTCTCATGTCTCATCCATGAAGCTTGAATGAATGAATAGAGACAAATGAAGGAATGGGTGGGTTTATGACTGCTTTTGATTTCCACAGTAACCCTCATACACACTTGATGAGCGCTTCTAACTGTGTTCCTCTGCAGAGCAGATGTTATGAAAGCAACGAGACCATGGACACGTTTCCCTCATAGGTACTTATCCCTGCAGCAGCAGCATGGTATGATTGTTAAACTAATTACTCCCTCATGCTCTCCCATCCCTTCCCAAGGGTCTTTTTTTTCTTATTTTTAATATGTCCTCTAGACCACCAAATCTGACTTTCCTGCTCTAGCGGTTTCTGTTGATCACTTTGTTTTAGGAGGGAGAATGGCGACTAGAAGTTCACCATTGAAAATTCCTGTCCAGTGACTGTGTGAACAAGAATTGGGTCCTCCAGGTTTCAAAGCTAGTTTGAAACCTGCTGTGGCAGTGATCCCTGCCACCCCCATCCCTTATGTAGCCCTCTTAGCTAGTTCAGACAGGGCTTCAGTCTAATTGTACAGATGTATTGCCTAGCCCATCCCTTCCTTTTATGTCACCCTTTCTTTCTCATCTGCCTGGCTGTTCTCTCATGCCTGATGAAACAAGGGCTGGGGCTGAGAAGTGGAACTGGGAAATCTTTGCTGGTGTAGCTGTGCTCGGTAATGATGAGTCACACTGGATGATGGGGTGACATGTTATAAGGGTGGGGGAAGCTGGGGATCTGAAGCCCATGCTTGAACACTGGCGAGTGAGTGTCAGCTGTTGTGCATTTAATTAATTAGAAAGAGGGGATGGTGCAGATCCTCATTCACTGGCATTCAAGCAGGTTGTGCATTTCTGTTGATAAACAGTTGAGTAGCACTCATGTACAGGGAACTCTGTGAGATGTGGTGGAGAGTCTAATAAAGAAGGGAGCTTAGCCCACTCAGCCCCCTGCCAGCCCAAGCCCTCCCCTGCAGCCT